CCTTTAATTGCAAAAGATAATTAATTATTGGAATAATTCAGGTACTTCTGAATAGTTTATTACTATTGTGACATTTATTGAATTTTCACAATGTTTCAACACCAACGTTGGTATTTGAAATTATTTATTCCAATAATATAAATGTTTTCACTCTGGAGTAACTGGACTAATTATAGTCAAATTTAATAAAATAATTAATTATTTATCCTACATGATTTTAAAGACATATATGCTTGGAAATATTGACATTAAATTCTTACAATAATAAATTAAAAGTTGAAACCTGCAGGGATCGAAACCCAGTCGCACTTACCTACCCTAAGACCTATAACCGAAGACCCTTTACTCTGCCGGCCGTACTAAGGAAATTGGGAAAACAAACTACATCGTCAACGGAACTGACTTATTTTATCTAAATATTCTTTTATTTGTTTTTATTAACTACTTTATTTGCATTAAATAATCTATTATTTGCATTAAATAAATTATTATACTTGAAGTCACAAAATTAATTGTGCCAAATAATTTTTAATTATACCAAATATTTAATTAATTGGTTGAAATAACTAAATAAATTTTTTTAAATAACTCATTATCTACTTTGATTTTAATAAGTTATTTATTTGATTAAAATATTTTTTATTTGTTTTCATTAAGTGATGCATTATTTCAAAATTTCAAATAGATAATTTAGTTTACTTGAAGCAATAAAATAAATTAATTGTGGCAATTAGTTTTTATTTATGTCAAATACAAATTTTATTTTATTTATGTCAATTAACTAAGCGAAATAAATAATTTGTTTTAAAATAACTCAATATTTGTGTTAAATAAGTTTATTTATTAGAGTCAAGTAATTATTTAATTAATCTAATTAAGATTCATTTGATTCAACTAATTAAAATTATTTAACCCTTTCGTGCCTCCGGAACATATATGTACCACTTAGAAAATTTTATGTAATTCTTTTAAAAATTAACCAATTAATTTGCACTAAATTGCTTTCTATTCCGAATGGATGTGGCTACAATTAAAAAAATAGTAAATTACAAAAAGTTGTAATATTTATTTTAAACAATAGAATAAACATTGACTGTTTAAAAAAAACAGTGATGTAACAAACTATACATTTCATTAACATTTAGTGAATAATTTTTAACAACACTTTGTTTTTTATGTTTTTGGGGTCGTTGATTACGAATCTTAAGTCAGATTTAAAAATTTCAAAATGGTGGATCTAATATGGCTGACAAATTTTTAAACAAATTTCAAATATTTTTAAATTTTATCAAAATTGCTTCCAAATTGTTACTCGGGGATTTTCAGGGTCACTGATTACGAATCCGATGTCAGTTTTTCAAAATTTAAAATGGCGAATCCAATATGGCGGACAAGATTTTAAAAAATTGCTTGAATTTGGGTCCATATTGTTACTTGGGTGGTTTTCGGGGTCGCTGATTGCAAATCGGAAGTCAGATTAAAAAAATTTTTAAAATTAAAAATGGCGGAAAAGATTTTAAAAAATTCCGTAAATTTGCTTTAATATTGTTACTCGGGGGTTTTCAGGGTCGCTGATTACGAATCCGATGTCAGTTTTACAAAATTCAAAATGGCGGATCCAATATGGCGGATGAGATTTTAAAAAATTGCTTGAATTTGCGTCAATATCGTTACTTGGGGGTTTTAAGGGTAGCTGATTACGAATCAGACGTTAGATTTAAAAAAAATTTTAAATTGAAAATGTCGGATCCAATATGACGGACAAGATTCTAAAAATTGCTTCTATTTGCTTCAAGACTGCTACTCGCGGGTTTTTGGAGTCGCTGATTACGAATCTGATGGCAGTTTAAGTTTTATTGATAAAATAGTAGAAACAAAATAATCCATGCTCAATTTTGTAAAAAATATGTTTTTAAATCCACAAAAAATTGCCAAGTGAAAAGATTAATTTTCATAATTTTTAATAAAACTCTTTATTTGTACCATTGTACACTATTCTGGTGTATCGAAATTCATTTGTATAATTTTGTAACTAATTTCAGATCATATTTTTATTCTAAATTTTTTGTATAATTTATTTTTTATATAAAAATTAGGATCTGAAATATTAATAAAATTTGAATCTAAAATTCTCTCCGTACTTAACGACCTCAAAAACTTTTATATTTGATCCGACATTTTGATTTTAAAAAACTGAAATTAGATTCGTAATCAGTGACCCTTAAAACCCCCAAGTACCGGTTTTAAAGCAAATTCAAACAAAGTTTTGAAAATTATTTTAAAATTTAAACCCGAAAACCCCTGAGTAACAAGTTTCAGACAAATTGGACGATTTTTTATTCTTGTCATTCTAGGTACATTTAGTGTTTTTTAGCCGGCAGTTAAGGGGTTAAAATTTAAGTTACTTACAATTAAAAAAAATTATTTTATGAAAATATAAGATTATTTCAATTATTTTTTTAAAAATAATAAAAACAATATTTTGTTTTAATTTTTTTTGCACATAAATATAAAATGTTTAATTATTTAAAGATTTATAAATGATTGTTGGTTAAAATATGTTTAGAAAAACTTGTCTATAAACATTAAAAAATTAAGTATTACTCTATATATGTATATATATTTAGAAAATTTATATGATAAGTTTTCATATTGGTATTACAGTAGGATCTTTCAATAGTGCAGTCGTCAAGAATATTGTGCACTGTTCGAAGCGTGCAAAAACTAAAACATTCAGGTCCGTGTCAAGAAAATTAAGGGTCCCCCACTACTAAATACCGGGCACCACTAAATAATACTAAATAATCAAATGAGCGACGGCACTGTATTTGACGTCACAGATTCTCTTTCCCTTTACCCCCCGGAACTCCTTGTCTAATCAACTCACTAATGACTGCACTGTTTAGAACTGCACTATTCAAAGATCCTACTGTATCTAGTATCTGTTGGTTTTCCAAAAAAATTTAAACAAAAATTTTATAAAAATCCATTAAAGACTCACCTTTCAACTTCGCTAAATGACATTTGAGGAAACACATTTCTGTTTATTTTTAAATTTAATAATATTTAAAAAAATAATATAAACACAATTTTGATAGACTTACATCTTACTAATGTGACATTCTAATGGTTGGTTGGTTGGTTTTGGTTATTGGCCTTTTGTCCCCGAAGGTCAAGTAGCCATGACATTTGTGACATTCTAATTTGTAATGAGAAATAAAATTACTAAATTAATAATTCGACTGCCTATCTAACTAGCCATCCCTTCCACGCGCCTTTCCCCTAGCGCGGAAGTATCAACACCCCGTCCCTGCCCTCAGCGGCTATTATTTTTCGTTCAAAATTTTGTATTTTTAACAATTTTTTTCACATACTTAGCAGGGGAATATCGGTCTGTCATTTTAATGGTGACATATACAAGTGGAATACTACCTATGAAAAAAAGACAGACTTATAAAAAACGCTAGAAATTCCATAATTATTTTTTAATAAACAAACAACGAGTCTGACACGACATTGTCAGGGGTTGGCAGTTCTGGCAGTAATATTTTTATGAATTTTAGGCATAAAGGTTTAATATCATGTAGGTCTGGCATTTAGAAATATAAAAATAAATTTTCCACATATTAAACAGTCTCATGTGTGATAACGCAGGGCATGTGTGCTGTCAGACTTACATTTTTGCAAAGAGGAGTGAAGAAGGAACCTATCCTTCAATTATGAGCCTTATAAAAATCCGTTGACCAAAACTGTCGCTAGCTCTTAGACTATAAATTCCTATGTTACCGTGTGTCGGTAAATTTCATTGGTTTGTTGATATTGTTAAAGTTTATTTATAACCTCAAAATCTACAAATATCTGTTATGAAATATGTTACAGTGCTCTATTTCACTTGATAGTGTTTTGTTATTATCTAATAACTTTCTAACAAATTAATTGTTATCGAGTTTACCTAAGTTACGACACAACATTTTTTTAATTGGTGATTTTGAAACTCAAATCTACGGAAATAAACTTCCATCTAAATTGCAAGTTCTGAAGTTCTATTTTTTAATCTTCGTGAAATTAAATTGAGTCTACGGGATGCTGCTAGTTTGGTTGCCAAAGAAGTTATTATTTTTTGGGAGAAAACCTGTTTGAAAACTAAAACCATCTATAAGAGTGCGTATATGATTGAAGCTTTATACGAAGAGTGGAGAAAATTGCAAAAAAATTCAGGACTATAATTTAATACTCCAAAGGAAGACAAATTCACATCTGAAATGAAAAATTTATTGGACATTTCTTTTGGAGATATATTAAATCCAATTGATGAAGAACAAAAGGAATTTTTGTTTAATAAGAGGAAACCTGGTCGCGTTGGTTATATTGCAAATTTAGAATCCATTTACGATATTCAAGAAAGAAAAGAAGCAGAGAGGAAAGAGATTTTTTGTGAGAAGATTACAAAAAAGTGAAATGGAAAAAGATCTATTAAGTAAGTATTTTAACAAACTACTCTTTAAAATATCATTTAAATATATTAAAAAATTGAATCCTTTTTAAATCTGAATTAGTAGTTTTCTATCAATAAAATAGTTTGAATTCGTTTTCTAATTACGTAGGGTTTTTTTTGAGTTTTCAGTAGAAACCTATTATCTTAATCTGAATTAGTAGTTTTCTACTAATAAAATAAGGCGGATTCGTTTACCAATTGAATTATTAACTGTTTTTACAAATTCTTAGTAGTTTTTTAATAATTATTAGTAGAAAATTTACTAATTTAAAATAGTAAAAAATACGTTCTACTAATTGAATTAGTAATTTTCCACTAGCAATTGGTAAAAAACTACTAAAATTTGTAAAAAATGCTACTAATTTAAATTAGTAAACGAATCCGCACTAATTCAGATTTGGAGAGTACTAACTTGGTAAACGAATTCGAATTATTTCTTTAGTAGAAAACTTCTGATTCCGATTCAAGGAGTGTGAAATTACTAATGGTACTGAATTCTTTAAAGGTACAATCGTAGAGCTGCAGTCTAGTGAAGAATCAACACCTCAGAATTTGAGTCAGAAAAGTATTGGTATGTATTTCAATATTTCAGTGGAAGATCTTCAATATGCTGTTCCTAACATTGAGCCAAACGAAGCTGGTCCATCTGTTCCAAAAAAAGCACGTGGTACAAGAAGTAGTAGCAGTTATGGATCAGTGTCAATTAAGTGATAGAAAAGCTGTACATTTAATTATTGCTATTGCTCAATTTTTGGGGCATGATGTAAATTCTTAAATAGTTAATAGAACATCTATTAATAATTATACAGGGAACAGTTACGTGAACTTAAAGCAGAGAACATTAAAAAAGTTTTTCAAAATACCCAGTTGAATGCTACTGTATTGCATTGAGAAAAAAAATGTTTGTGATAAAACAGAAGATTAGAAATCATTGAATAGAATAGGTCAGGATTAACAAATCACAAAGAATTCTTGGAATTATATTAACTTCTATTATTGACAAATTACTTACGTTGTCTTTCTCCAAAGAAAGACGAAGAAGAACAACAATCAAATTATTTAACGACGATAGTAATAATAATTATAACAATGACTTGGGAAAATTCATGGTAAACGTCCTATTATGATAAAATTTATCTTATCAAAGTGGGTGAGATTGGTCTTTGGCAAGGTTAGATAGCTGAGAAATGAAGATATCTTCATAGCCAATGATCGTTCAAAGGAAGAGAGGGAGAATCGACGTTTACTTCTTGATCAAGTGCGAAGAATTAGAGAGGGGGGTCAGGATGCTGTGTTAAAGGGTAACAAAATTGTTATAAAAGAGAAAAATAATATGGATGAGAAACAAACACCCTTATCAACGTCTATGGCCCAAAATCCACCCAGGCCTTCCCGAAAACGAACTTTTGTTTCCCCTTCAGTTTCAGTCTCTGGCCACGCCTCTAAAGAGACAGAAAAAGCGCAAAAAAAGAGAAAAGGACGTTCTAAATCGGAGAAAAGAGATCGACATATTTCAGAGTCGTTGGATGGCTATTTGAATTCTCCGAGCACAAATACGGACAATTTAAACCAAACCAAGTTAACTTTTGAGAAATAGCAAGAATCACCCAATGGTTTTTTATCTGGAGCTGGCGCGAAGATTGTATTTTGGAACGTGCACGGTCTTTCCAATATTGTGGATATGAACGAATACTTAGGAAATCAAGACATTCTGTGTGTATGTGAGACTTAGTCTACGAGCACTGATTAAAAGTTGCGTTTTCTAAATTTCGCTACGATTGACTCCCCAGCTTTTAGGATCAGTCACTTCGGCAGGGCTACTGGTGGGCTTTTGGTGGCTTTCAACTCGGACATATATGAAGCAGAAGTCTTGGAAATGAATAGGAATTACATTTTTGTAAAAATAAAATCTACTTTTAATTGTTTCGTTCTTGGTGTGGTGTATGCCCCTCCGGAGGATGATTTGGTAATGTTGTTGGATAATATTAATTTATTTTTTAACCGTATCTATAGCGTTTACCCTGAGCTCCCGATGTTGGTGGGAGGTGATTTTAACTCTCGACTTTCAAATATGAATCAACTTAATTCTGATGTTTTTATTTCTAATTACTATTTTACTAGAGAACGATTATCCAAAGATCCGATCACTAATCCTAGAGGTCGTATTTTAACAGAATTTATAAAATGTTCTAATTTTATTTTATTGAATAGGCGATCAGCAAGTGATACTCCCGCCAACTTCACTTTTGCGGGACCTCGTGGGGTTAGTGTTGTAATGAATGTTAAAGTGGGATCGCTCGTCGGTCAGGGTTCGTTTTGAAAAAGTGTTTTAACATTCAATCAGAATCAAATTTGATATTTATTTAGAAAACGAAACGATAAAATTGGAAATACAAGTAAGAAATATAAATTATAAAAAACGAAAAGAATAAACTCGTCGAGGCGAAAACGTTGCGCGATGACAAAAAAGACGCGAAAACTACAATTACGACAATCGACAATAATGTAAACGCGCGGACGGACATTCATAAATTCACGATTTAAACGATGATTTCGGTACGACGAAATATTCACGATACGAATAAAATAAAACGACGAAGTCGTACGAACGTTGACTTTCTTAGGCGGCACCGGACGATTTCGTGGGAGAGCGCGTTACCGTGCTTGAGGTAACACCTCTTAATCTCTGCTGCGGTAAAGACCGTTTGTGGTAAAACCACTTTACTCCCTTGTGGTAAGACCACTGCGAGAGACCCTATCGCGGTAATACCGCTTCGAAAAGTGATGCTCTCGGACCGTGCTTCCGAGGCCCTCGATTCTCTTGGCGCTGGAGGGAGAAGGTCTCAGCGGGGAGACTTCCTCGCTCGCGATTGGCTGAAGTGGGACTCGTGGGGTGCGCACGCACCGTTTACACTCAGCATACACCAATTTGTGTACGACGATTTATACAAAACAAAAACAAACGTTTTCTGTATTTACAGAGAACAAATGTTTTCAATTTAACAATAATCGTCACACCCCCTTTTCGTTAGGAGAAAACTCCGTGAGAGTTTTCGTTGACGGGTATTAAATTGAAAACGATCAAATAGAAAATAAAAAACGAATAATAATAATAATAATTAAATACAAAACACAAAGAGTCTTTCAGTTCACTTCACCGTTTCTTCTGTTTGTTCGCTGGTCGCATCTTTTCCTTGCCGTAAACGTTGACGATTACCTGCATTAGCTGTCCGTTGACTTCTTTGAGGAACTTCCTTCTTTTCGGTGGATTTCGAAACTTCGAGTCGACGTTGGACGCGCGTTCTGCTGCGGGAGCTTGTTCCGGTGGGATTCGAGCGGCTTGGCTTAGCAGTCCTCCCGTGGTGTCGTTGAGAGCGCATGTCAGTTCTCGTAAAACAGGGCGTTCGGGAACAATTATTGGGGCTACTTGCTGTTCGATTTCGCGTTTGGCGACGAATGGGGACTCTTGTCACAATTAATAACAATGGGTAAATTTCGCGTGTTCTCAACGGTTTCGTTTACGTTTCGAACTGTCAAATTTTCACTCGCGATTTCGTATTCGCACTCGCGTTCGGGTTTCGGCGATTTCATAGTCATTAAAATGTTCTCGAGATTTTTCACTGCCGTTACCGTTTCGGATTCGTTAGCTGCGACGCGTAAATTTGTCACTGGTGGCTTGATTTCGTGAACAACACAATAATAATTATCGTCCTCGAGATGGCATTTTTGTGTTTCGTCGACGGCATCACTAAGGACAATGGGATCGGGTACACTAGGAAAATAGTTCGATGATTTCGACACGACAGAACAAATTGGCACAGTTTTCTTTAACACAGCACTTGGGAAATTTCGACGTGGGGGCGGTGTCGGCTGCTGCATGAATTGCCATGATCCACGATCTTTTGCTTTTTGGTGTATCACAGCGGGATACGTGTTTCGCGGTGTTAACGGCGAATTGAAATTCGGGTAAGAGATTATCCCAAGATTTTTGATTTTCTCCGGCGTACTGAGAAATTATCGTTTTCACGGTTTTATTCGTTCGCTCCACCGGCACGGTGAGCTTGGATGAAATTCAACCCAAAAGTCATGACCCTTTCTGGTTTATTTTTGATATCATTTAAGTGATGTCTAATAATCATTTTAAGATAAAAATTAAATTAATCGTTGGAGGGAAACTCAAATTATATTGATTTTTTAATTTTTTTCTAGGTTATTGTACATATTTTTTGAAGGATAATGTTTTAAACAATATTTATTGCTTCAAAAGATATCTTTTAACATTAAAAAACATTCTATTTAGTAAAAACAATATTTTAATATATAAAGCTAAAAAATTGTCGAAAAAGTGTGAATTTTTTCGTTTTTCTGAAAATTACTCTTTTATAAGTCATTAAACACTAATATTATGCAAATGTAAATTAAAGTACATAAAATTTCCTGGAAAACTAAACCAGAAAAACTATTCTATCTATTAAGAGTAGAGATGATTCTATCACTCAGTCGTATTTTCACTATTTATTATTCTATCCACTGTTGTTACAGAAATATGATGATTTAAAGTTCGTTTTTAATGAAAAAGTAATTGAAATCTGTCATTAAGTCCAGTTTCTTTGGTGAAATCTTTTTTTCTGGACCTTACTTGAAAACCATATAATAATATGTTTAAAAAAGTTAATTTTAAACATATTATTATATGGTTTTCAAGTAAGGTCCAGAAAAAAAAATTTTACCAAAGAAACTGGACTTAATGATAAATTTCAATTACTTTTTCATTAAAAACGAACTTTAAATCATCATATTTATCTAACAACAATAGATAGAATAGTTTTTCTGGTTTAGTTTTCCAGGAAATTTTATGTACTTTAATTTACATTTGCATAATATTAGTGGTTAATGACTTATAAAAGAGTAATTTTCAGAAAAACGAAAAAATTCACACTTTTTCAACAATTTTTTAGCTTTATATATTAAAATATTGTTTTTACTAAATAGAATGTTTTTTAATGTTAAAAGATATCTTTTGAAGTAATAAATATTGTTTAAAACATTATCCTTCAGAAAATATGTACAATAACCTAGAAAAAAATTAAAAAATCAATATAATTTGAGTTTCCCTCCAACGATTAATTTAATTTTTATCTTAAAATGATTATTAGACATCACTTAAATGATATCAAAAATAAACCAGAAAGGGTCATGACTTTTGGGTTGAATTTTATCCAAGCTCACCGTGCCGGGTTACACTGCGGCGCGTACGGTGGCGTTCGTTGGTGCACGATTCCGAAACTTTCTACGATTTTTCGAAAATCGTTCGCGGTGAATTGTGTGCCATTGTCGGTAATGAGCACTCGTGGCGTTCCGTAACGTAAAATAACTTTATCTTTAAAAGCTTGAATGATCGGACGTGTTTTCTGTTCTCGTAGCGGATGCAGTTCGACCCATTTAGTGAATTTATCGAACATCACTAAAATATACTTGTTTCCGCGCGACGATCTCGGTAACGGACCCACAATATCCATGGCGACGTATTCCCACGGTTGAGTCGCGTTGCACGTTCCCATCTTTCCGGCTACTTTCGTTTGCGCCGTTTTATGTCGTTGACACGAAACACATTGTCTGACATATTCTGCGATGTCGCCATTCATGCCGGGCCAATAATAATTATGCGCGATCCGAGCTATTGTTTTCGCAATACCGAGGTGACCCGCAGT